TCCCCGCCGCACCCAGAGCCAGCGGGCTTCTGGCCCCCGCCAGGCCCTCCCGCACCCCACGCCGCGGAGGAGGCCCGCAGGGGTCAGGACCGTGGTCTGTGTCGCGTGGGCCACTGAGGTGTCCCCGTGGAAGTGTGGAGTTGCAGCACCAACACCCCAAGGTGGGTGAGCGCCTGGGCCTTCCGCTGACCCCCAGGGCCAGGAGCTCCTGCCTTGACAGGCGTTGGACACAATTAAACTCCAAGAGGAGCCCGGGTTGTGTGGCTGGGGGGGTTGCCCATCTGACACCTTCTGGATGGAAATGAGGAGCCCCCATTTTCTCATAGAGGTGGGAGGCAGGGGACGACGGGGCTGGCCAGAGATTCGGAGCAACTTGACCCAGGGGAGCTGCCCCCACCCCCCAATCCTTGCTGGGGAGGGGTCCAGAGACCTTTTAAAGGTGTGTGTGAGGCAGCAGGCTGACTCCTCAGAGCTCCTCCCTGCCTGAGGAGAGCAGATGGCAGACACCACTTCACCTGCCACCTCCTGAACTCCCCTCCCCCACCCGTGGCTCCCAGGGCCCAATGACCAGGGTCAGCTTAGGCCTCCCTGGTGCCTGACGGCCCAGGGCCCTCCATCCCAGCATCCGTGTCGTTTCTGTGGAGCATTGGACAACAGCCTGCAGGCTTCTGGGCCAGTGAGGGAACACTGGGTTTTCATGGGGCCTGCAGGGGCCCGAGCCACCCACCCTCACCCCCCAAAGTTGCCCAGGCCAGGGAGGAGGCCTGGTGGTCAGCCCTGCTCACCCTGGCTGCAGGTCTCACAGAGACAGCCAAGAGGAAAAGGGAGAGCAGTGGTGGGGAGGGGAGCACAGCTGGGTTGTAAACATGTTGGTGCAAGGGCAGGCCGCCAGGCCCCTTAGAACCCCTGGCCTATGCTGGCACTGGTCTGCAGCCCCCTCTACCCAGCTTCCCCAGCCATCAAAACCCTGGATAGGAAGTTACCCCATACACACACCCTCACAGCCAGATACGTGGGCTTATCTCCCCATCAGAGGAAACCAGTGGCCTGGGGTGGGGGGCCTGGGGGCAGTAGGGCTGGACCTAGCAGGCCTGAACTAGTGAGAGACCAGCAGAAATCTCAACCCTGGGGCAGGGGTCTCCTGGGCTGGCTCTGCTGGTCTGCCCTGCGCCCCTGCCTCGCCTTGTCCCAGTGGAAGCTCTGCACAGGGCAGGGTGGGGTGTCAACAAAAGCCGATGAGGGATGGCTTGGTAGCCCAGGCCCTTCCCTCCTAGTGGTGTGCCAGCCACAGAACGTGGGGACAGGACTAGGGTCAGTTGTTCAGAGCAGCAGCCCCCCACCCCCACCCCCCTGAGCTGGGCCTGGAGCTTGAGAACCATCTCCCTAGACTGTGTCACCTGGGCTGCTGTGGTCGACCATGTGACTCTGTGTGTGGCACCCCCACTCCAGTCTTTCTCCAGACCCACCCGTCCCAGCCTAAGGGTCTCCTCTTTGCAGAGCCCCTGCTGGTACATCGGGTGGGGAGTGCCCACAACTCAGAAGCATCCCGGGGCTGGGGGTGGGAGGAGTGCCACTGTACCATGTGCAAGGTGGCAGGACGTGAGCGTGCCTGAGTCACGGGGCTTGTCATGGAGACTGTGAACCCGCCAGAGTCCCCAGCTCCAAGCTGCCCCAGTTGTCATCCCAGGCCTTGGGGCCCACCGCTGAGCCCAGCCGCTGTGAGGGTTTCTGGCTCCTCACAGCCACCCAGGGTAGGAGGCCCTGAAGGAAGGGTTCCCTGGTCCTGGGCTAGCCTTCCAAGCTGGGGTGATGAAGGGATGGGGGGCTTCCAGCCACAGAGAAACATGTATTGGGGGTGCTAGGACAGCCGCAGCCTCTGAACAGGGGTGTGACCAGGTCAGGGCCCAGGTTGGGGTTTGATGGAGGCACCATAGGGTCAAGCATTGTCCAAGCGGTGACTTCTGGGTCACCATTGCCTGTCCAGGTATTACAGATGTGTGTACAGCTGCCCAGTGGGGTGGGCCTCACTGCCCCCTGGAAGTCAGGCTGCATGGGTCACAGCCTCAGGCAGTGATGGGGACTGGGCCCTGGGTCCTCAGGCAGGACTGTCCACATTCCTGACCTCCTGGAGCCCTCCCTGGCCAGATTCAGGGACTCTGGTAGCTGGCTTGTCAACCCCCAGCTCCCCAAAAGTCCCTGCTGAGAACAAAAGAGAAAACTGTTCTGCCCCTGAGAGCTTTGTGACTCAAGTCCCCACCCCCACCCCCACCCTGCCCAGGGGATCAGGACCTTCCTCAGCGACCCCTGTGGGCTCACAGCCAAAATACAGAGGTACAACCCCCACCCCATCCTCCATGGAGCCCTCAGTCTCTGCTGCTGGGCCTTTCCTGCAGGACCCATTCCTCATTTTTGATTCATTCATCTGGCCATACCCAAGAGACCACGGAATGCCATGCAGTCTGTCCCCAAGGAGTCCCAGGCTGAGGGGAGAGGCAGCCATGGGGGCAGTGATGAGGGGGTCCTGGAGACGCCGCTGGTTCTGAAAGCCGTGTGAAGGAGCTGGCTGTGTCGAGGAGAGCCTGAGTACGTTGAGCAGAGGGGTCCTTATGGACTGCCGGCCGGGTGCAGGAAGGGAGATTGTGAGGCAGCCAGGTCCCCAGCCCATCAGCAGACCCTCTGAGTGCCCCTTCTGTGGGGATGGTGGAGCCCCAGGCAGCTCCGCCCTAGGTTTCGAGGACAACACATCAAAAGCAAGGTCACAGGGACTGCTCCCATAGTCCCTGGGTTGAGTCCTGGAGTCTCTCTCTCCTCATCTGACCCGGGGAGGGGACCTTTCCCTGAATTCCGCTCCCCAAGCCAAGCACAGGAGACTGAGGAAGACGGGCAGCGGTGCAAGCCTGGCCGTCCTTGTAGACTGGCCTTTCCCCAGGGTCCCCTGTGGAGGCCATGCAAAGGACAGGGCAGCTGCCCCCACCTGCTGCTGGCAGGATCCTCCTAGTCCCCAAGAGCTCTGCGTGGGGGCTGTCACAGGTGGCAGGAGGTTGAGGAGCTCTGATCACCTGGGAACCAGGATCCAGGTCCCCCTCCTGGCCAGGTGTGTAGGGCCAGGGCCAGGTTCATCCTGTCCCTCAGGGATCCCTCGGCCAACTTCCGGGAGGGCCTTTCTCCCAAAGCTCCAGTCCCTGAACTTGAGAGAAGTCCCTGTGCCCCATGTTAAGCTGTGGTCCTGGGGCAAGGCCCAGAGTACAAGAAGCAGCTGGCAAGGGACACAAGACTGACCATAGCAAGGCTGGCCTCCAGGGAGGGCCAAGGTCAGGGCCAGAACTGAGGGTCAGCTAGGTTGTGGACCCCCCTCCACCCCCCAGGCAGTGGGCAGCCTCTCCACCTGCCTTCTCTCCTAGTTCTCCCCTTTTCACCCTTTGGAGCCTGGGGCCCAGGGGGCACGGGTGCGATATGGGCACGTGCAGAGATTGGGGTGCAGTCACAGGCTCCAGCGGAGTAGGAAGGGCGCCCTTTAGGTGGCCCAGTGTATCCACGTGCTTCACCCACCTCGGCACTCCACGTGCGCTCCCAGCTTTGGGAGCGCCCTCAGCCTAAATCGGCATCAATCCTAGCTCTTTCTCTCGGGTGCCGCCTCCGCCGCCTCCTCCGGATTCCAGCCGAGCGGGCGGGCTGCTGCTCCGCCGTCTCGGGGCCACTCCCTGCGGAGCGGGCTCGCCCGGCTGCGCCTTAGCCGGGGAGCCTGCACCTCGCCCCACAGCCTGCTGGGGCCAGGCGCGGAGCGACGCGCGCGGCTGGCGAGGCCGCTGTCCGTGGTGCTGCGCGCGCAGGGGCGGGCCGAGCGGGCGGGAGGCGGGGAGGCTGGTGGGCGGGGCGCCCGGTCTGGGGTTGAGAGGTGGCTCAGGGCACACAGCTGACCCCCCCCGCCCCTCCCAGCCGCCCAGAGGGAGTGCGGAGCGCCTCTCCGTCTGCCCAGGGGCAGAGGAAGCCTTGGACGTCATCTTGTCCCCGAAGGCCCCCCCACTCCTGTCCTCTGCATCGCGAATGTGGGGCAGCCCCCCATGCCAGGTCTTCATCTGCCCTCCCCACCATTACGGGCTCATCCTTACTGCACAGAACCTGGAAATTGGGGATAATACCAGTGTTCCTCACCCCCTCCCCCTTCTGTTAGTTTGAATAGTGACTGTCCCAGTGGCAGAACCCGTGGGGAGGGTGAACAGTAGCTGGAGTGGGTTGGGGTCCTGGTTGCAGGGGCAGAAGGCCTTGGTGTCTGGGCTGGGCGGGCAGCCTGGGCTCGTTCTCAGGGGGACTGATGACCCCAGAGAAGGCCTGTAGCCCTCCCCAGCTGTAGGGTGTTGGGTTCAGGCTTGGTGGACACCAGTGCTGGCGACCTGGGCGAGGCCCCCCAGCTCCGGGGTCCAGCTTAGCCAGGCAGGTGAGGAAGGTGTCTCTGGATGCTGGAAGTGAGTGCTGACATGACCTGGAGCCACCTCCCTCTACAGCTGCAGCTTTTGATTGCCCCTCGCTGAGTGTGTGGGGCAGAGGTCAGGAGCCCGAGGTCACCTACAAGGCAGGGGACATGAAGTCCACCTTGCTGTGGTGCTCAGAAGTCACTGACTCTAGTGCCCAGGTCTTTTTGCTAGCCGGCTCAGAGCCCCACCCTCCCAGTCAGGCCCCTGGGTGACATGATCCCCCCTCCCAGGCTCAGAGAAGGGCATGGCTTGTGGAAGTTGTGGCCCCAGCTAGGGAGTCTGACCCAGATGCTGGGGAAATGCTGGGCAGAACACTCCCTGCTGGGTGGTAGTGGCTAACAGAGAGGAGCAGAGAGTGGTGTGATGAGGGCCTTACTGCCTTCTCCCTCTGGGGCTGTCCATGCCCACTGCCCTCTGCCACTCACTCACAGCCACTGGGAGTTGGGTGGAACCCAAAGCTGTTCTGGGCTGAGGTGAGGGCACTGAAGATGCTGGCCCAAGGGGAGCCCCCAATGCCTGCCCTCCCACGGCCAGCACTGGGCCAAGCCTCTGGGCCATCAGTGACGGGTTGTGACCTGGGGCTAGCAACTGTCCGTATGATGGATAGTCATACAGCATCATCCCCATGGGCCGAGGAGACCGTGCATGTGTAGGGCTCACATGGGAGCCCTAGTAGTCTCAGGACTGGCGTGCTTCTCAGGGAGCCCTGGAAGCATGGTGACTATGAGTTGAGCTGCGATCCACAAGTTTGGCAGTTTGAAACCACCAAACAGACTTTTAGTCTCGGAAACCCACAAGGGCAATTCTACCCGGTCCTATAGGGTGGCAATTAGGTGGCATCAATTTGATGGCAGTAAGTTTGGTCTTGGGTTCTAGTGTGTCTCTCAGGGCACCAGTGGGCAAGTGCTCCCCAGTCCTCTCTGTCCATCCTTGGCTATGGGCAGCAAGCAGTGAGGGGGACTGGTGCCCAGCAGACCAGGGTGAGCGCCAGAGTGGCCAAGTCTCTTCTCCCACCACCTCCGACTGCTTCCTCTGGAGTGGCCTTGGGGTTCCCCTGCTGGACAGGGTCTCACCGCTCCTCCCGCCCACCCCCTGCAGAGGTAGCCTGGAAAATGTCAAACCCCAGCGTCGACGGCGACCCCAAGCCTCCATGCTTGCCTCGCAATGGCCTGGTGAAGTTGCCTGGCCAGCCCAACGGCCTGGGCGCAGCCAGCATCACCAAGGGCACCCCGGCCGTCAAGAACCGCCTGTACCAGCCTCCACCCCCGCCTGCCCTCCCGCCACCCAGCCTGGCTGCCCCGCTGCCCCGACCCGCCCTGGCGGGGGTCCCATGCCCCTCGGTGGGGCTCCCCCTGGGTGGACCTGCCTCCCCCCCAGCACCCGGGCCCCTGGCTGAGCGGCCACCCCTGGCTGTGGACGAGAAGATCCTCAACGGCCTCTTCTGGTACTTCTCGGCCTGCGAGAAGTGCGTGCTGGCGCAGGTGTGCCGGGCCTGGCGGCGTGTGCTCTACCAGCCCAAGTTCTGGGCCGGCCTCACGCCGGTGCTGCATGCCAAGGAGCTGTACAACACCCTGCCTGGCGGCGAGAAGGAGTTCGCCAACCTGCAGGGCTTTGCCGCGCGTGGCTTCGAGGGATTCTGCCTGGTGGGGGTCTCCGACCTGGACATCTGTGAGTTCATCGACAACTATGCCCTCTCCAAGAAGGGGGTCAAGGCCATGAGCCTCAAGCGCTCCACCATCACCGATGCAGGCCTGGAGGTGCGGCTAGGGGTGGGGCAGGGCTACCCGGGAGGGGCGGGGCCGCAGGTGGGTGGGGCCTGGATCCACCTAGGGTAGTGCTGGGCTTCCAGAGATGGCTAGGCCAGGCCTCCTGCTTGAGAACCCTGTTGGTCTATCGCAGTGGTTCTCAACATTCCGAATGCCACGACCCTTTAACACAGTTCCTTGTGTTGTGGCGACGCCGCGTGTGGGCGTATCTGCATGTGGGCGGACCCGCCTGGAGAAGGCTAGAGGAGCAGTGTCTCGGTTCCTAAGACCATCGGAAATATAGTCTTGGGCAACCCCTGTGAAAGCGTCGTTCAACCCCCAAAGGGGTCGGGACCCACAGGTTGAGAACCACTGGTTCGTGTGCCATCGAGTGGATTCTGATTTTTGGCAAACCTATAGTGGCCAAAGAAGGCTGCCCCGTAGGCTGTTTGAGGCTGCTATCTTTAAAGAAGCCTCTGGTGGGGGTTGAACTGTTGCTATTTCAGTGGGCGGCCCGTGGCTTAGCCACTGTGCCACTAGGGTGCCCCACTTTGGGGCCAAAATTCTCCTCGATGGGTACTTATGGGGGTTACACCCAGGAGACCCTTGCCTCTTGCTCGGCACCACAGGGCGTGCCCCGGGGGCACCATGCCCAGAGGGGTGCGAGTTGGGACCCATGTCCCCGCCTCCCCACCCGCCTCCCCCAGGTGATGCTGGAGCAAATGCAGGGCGTGGTACGGCTGGAGCTGTCCGGGTGCAATGATTTCACGGAAGCCGGGCTGTGGTCCAGCCTCAGCGCACGCATCACCTCGCTGAGCGTCAGCGACTGCATCAACGTTGCCGACGATGCCATCGCCGCCATCTCGCAGCTGCTGCCCAACCTGGCCGAGCTGAGCCTGCAGGCCTACCACGTGACGGACACGGCGCTGGCTTACTTCACGGCGCGCCAGGGCCACAGCACGCACACACTGCGCCTGCTGTCCTGCTGGGAGATCACCAACCACGGTGTGGTCAACGTGGTGCACAGCCTGCCCAACCTCACTTCGCTCAGCCTCTCGGGCTGCTCCAAGGTGACGGACGACGGCGTCGAGCTCGTGGCAGAGAACCTGCGTAAGCTGCGCAGCCTCGACCTCTCCTGGTGCCCGCGCATCACCGACATGGCGCTGGAGTACGTGGCCTGCGACCTGCACCGCCTGGAGGAACTCGTGCTGGACAGGTGTGTGCCCTGGCCCTGGAGGCGAAGGGGAGTAGGTGCCCAGGGCTAGAAAGGCAAAGTGAGTTGGCCGGTGGGTGGGGCCAGATGGGTGGGTGGGGCTACGGGGTGGGGTGAGGGGAGAGCGTTGAATGGAGGTCCCTAAAGTGAGTGTGTGAGACCACAGAGGGACTAGTGGATGGGGCCATAGCCCACGCCCCTAGTAGGAAGGGGACGCTGCTTCCAAGAAAGAGGAAAGGACTGGGGCTGGGGCTGGATGTGTGGACCGGCCTCAGCAGTGCGCCTCCTGGACCACACACAGGTGCGTTCGCATCACGGACACTGGCCTCAGCTATTTGTCCACCATGTCGTCCCTCCGCAGTCTCTACCTGCGATGGTGCTGCCAGGTATTAGCCCCACCCTTCCGTGGCCTCCTCTGGTGGGTAGAGGGCTTGGGGGGTGCGGGTGGAGGGCAAAGCCGCCATCCAGACCATCCGCTCACCTGCTCCCTGTCTACTCACACACTATGGAAACTGAGGTCCCTCTGCCTCCTCGGGGTCCATAGGATGTCAAGGTGCCCACTGGCATTCCCACCCGGGCTGAGAAAGCCCTTCTAACCCTGCCTCCTGCTACCTGCTCAGTGAACCAGCGCAAAGGCGGAGCTGGCGGGGGTGGGGGGTGGGCCCCAGATGCTAACTGAAAGAACCCTGCCCTCCGCTCAGGTACAGGACTTTGGGCTGAAGCACCTCCTGGCCATGAGGAGTTTGCGTCTCTTATCTCTGGCAGGTGAGCAGTGCCCAGCGCCCCGCTGAGTCCAACCGCCCCCCTTCTGCCCCTGGCCCACCTGGTCTCATGTCTGACTGGGTTCAGCCTAGAGGAGGCTAAGGAGGGAGATGGGTGAGCCCCGCCTACTGGCCCGCCCTGAGCTCTGCCCCTGCCTTCCGCAGGCTGCCCCCTGCTGACCACCACCGGGCTCTCTGGCCTGGTGCAGCTACAGGAGCTGGAGGAGCTGGAGCTAACCAACTGCCCAGGGGCCACGCCCGAGCTGTTCAAGTACTTCTCGCAGCACTTGCCTCGCTGCCTGGTCATCGAGTAGCCGGGGGCCCTGCCCGCCCCATCCAGGAACTGGCCATGCTCTGAGGGGGCGGGGCAGGGGCACCAAGAACCCCCATCCCCCGCAGGGCTCTTTGGGGAGCCCTACCTGCCCCAGCCTTGTGCAGGGTGGATGCGCCCCCGCCTCGCCCGCCCCCTCCCCTTCCCCCACCTGCGCTCCTCTCCTGGCCCCGCCCTGGGAAAAGAGGGGCGGCGGGACCAGCCCCACGCACGCGCACACACTCGGGGACCCTGTGCATGCCCCTCGTGCCCGCACTGCACGCCCGCCCTTCCCCCATGCCACTGCCATCACTCGCTCACCCTTTGAGGGCCTGTCCGGGGCTCGGCCCTGGGGAAGCACTTTGAACTCGCCAGAGAACCGCCCCATTGCCTCCCCTTTGTCTCCCTGCTGCTCACCCCCATCCTGGACAGGGTCGGGGGAAACAGGACACAGCGCCGTCAGGGCCCCAAGGGCTTCCGTACCTTCCTGTGCACAGAGCCTGGCATCCTCGGAGGAGAGCGAGGGATTCACAGGCCACAGCCAAAGCCATGGTCCCCCCAGGAGCCCAAGCCCAGCCCCGCCCCCCCTAGCCCCCTGCCAGCCTGGCCCTAGTGGGCCTCCCTCTATCCTACCCGTATCCTTACATCCCTGGCCTCACTGGGACAGATTTGGATTGGGACAGTGTGGCCGCCAGTCTGGATTTCAAGTGGTCTACAGCCAGCCAGCCAGCCAGAGTGTGGTTGAGGCATGGTGAAAGCCGGAGCTGACACCTTAAGGCTCGCAGGCCTTGGGAATAACCGGCGCAGGTCCCACATCACAGTTCCTGCCACCAACCAGCTCGGCCGGCCAGCACCCAGTTTCACTCTGAACAGGCCTTCCTCCGCCAGAAGAAGTCTGCAGGGCTGGCCCAGCCAGCGACCCCAATCTTCCAGTGGCCAGCATACCCTTGCTACCCTGAGGGGAGAGGGGTCCTTTTTAGCCCCACCCCAACCCCAGCCCTCAAACCCTCCCAGCTTCTCAAACCTCTGCCTGCCTAATTGGGCTCTGGCCAAATTTTGATTCCAAGACACTTGGGAGTCCTGGAGGAAGGGTGTGCTGGCACACCTTGGCGATTGCCAAGGAGGCGGCTGGGACCCCCTTTCCATCCCAACCTTGAGGCCCAGGAGATACCCCCACAAAAATCTGGTTGGAAGAAAGTAACCAGTGTCCAGAGTGAGAGAAAGAGAGAGAGAGCGAGAGGCGAGAGCGATGCTGTTAAAGCAGAGGAAGGCTTCGACAGCCCAAAGATTTTCCTGCCCTGTTGGAGTGCCGGCTGGAGGCTGTGGGGCTGGTCATCAGGAGCCAGTTTCTCCAGCCCCTCCTCTCCACCACTCCCGAGCGGGGAGGGGGGCACTGCCCTGTCCAAAGTATTAACGCAACTGAAGCTGTGATATCTCCGACTGTAGGAGGAAAAATTAAGGGGAGAGAGAAAATGACAAAAGGAAACAAACCAACCCCTGAGATCATTGTCTTATTGTACATAACGACCTCATTCTCCTGTATATGCGGAAGATATAACCTTATATTTGGTAAGTGTTTCTTGTGCTATTTTATCACGTGACCTGTTTATAAAAATATATATTAAAAATGTTGTAAAAACACGCGTCGGAGTGGTTTCTACATAGGCAAGTCATGTGTCTGTTCTGGAGGCCCAAATTTCACCTCAAACTTTCAACACGTGTAGATACTAGGTGGCATTAGGCCTGACTGGGGGCATAGCAGTGACCAATAAAGAAGACCCTGGCCTCCCAGGAGTAAGCCCTGGCTGTGCTGTTGAGGAAGTGTTTGACTGCTAATCCCAAGGTCAGTGGTTCAAACCAACCAGATGCTCTGGGGGAGAAAGATGAGGTGGTCTGCTCCCATAAAGATCCACAAAACCTCCAAACCCTATATTGGGTCAATGTGAGGCAGACTTGATTGCATGGTGTGTTTTGTTTCCCTTGAAACTTCCCAGGCAGTAAAGCTGTTATGCATAATGTATCCTTCGAAGATAAGCCCTGTGCTACACACAGAGAAACTGAGGCAGGGGGGTTCCTGACACACAGAGAAGGGTCTAATTGAATGAGTCTTGCCCAGGTGGTGCCAGGAACCAGAAGTTTGGTGGAGACCTAGGCAGACCTGGCCTCTGTCCTATTGTGTGACAGACAATATTCAGCAAGCAAGGGACAGGCTGTGACATGCTGTGGAGTAGTGATTGCAGGAGTGGCCAGCCAGGCTTCTGGGGTTGTGACAGTGATGCTGAGCCGAGGGGTAGCAAGCGTGCGAGGCTTGTACATGCAGTGGCTGTGAGGCAGCAGAGGCCCTCTCAGAGAAGGGCCAGAGGCACAGATGGAGGCAATAGCATGGTGGGTGATGGGTGGGAGAGGAGGTCCAGGCATGTGGGGGGTGCTGAAGGGGAGAGCTTAAGCAGAAGAGTGGCACTTAGCTCCGACAGGGTTTGGGTCAAAGCGGAAAGGTGGGCCCAGGAGCATTTAGGAGGCAGCTCTACAGGCCCAGGAGAGGGAGAAGATGGATTTAGGGGAAGACTGGGTTTTTGGGGAACGGTTTAAGTAATACTGGACTTGCTGATGCATCTGGGAGGAGATGCTGAAGAACGCTGGCAATAAAACTGAGATAAAACAAAAACTTCGAAGCGAAATAGGCTCCTCGATCCCAACCGGGCGTCATCCTCCACCGCCCACAGTCGCGCTCCGGATCCGGAACGTTCGAGAGGTGAGCGAGAATTCGAGTCCGCTTCCGGCGGGGCGGGTGAACAGCGGACCACTTCCGGCCAGGGACAGGGAAGAAACGGACCGTTTCCGGCGTGGCGGTTCCGGGTCGCCAGGCTGGCTACTTTGTTAAATGCGGGGGCTCCCTTAGCACGGTTGCCTCGACCTCTTTAGCTCGAGTCGCGCTCGCCCCGCGTCCCCGGAGCCTCCTCCCCGCTCGCGGGAAGTCAGTGCACCGCCCGCCAGTCCTCTAAACGCCTCGCGCTCCTTAACTCAGGCCTCGAGGTTTCTCTGCGCTCCCCGCGTCTCTATCCGCGGAGTCCTCTGGACCCCTCTAGCCCATCAGTACCCTCAGGTCCTTGTCATTCCTCCGCCAGGTTGGACCCGGGAGCCACCCCGCTCCCTTGCCCAGCTTGGCTGACAGAGTAGCTAGTGATCCCAGCTCTTGAGAGATGGTTGGGTAGGGAGAGAGTCTAGCTCAGGACTGAACAGGTAGGGCCTTCCCTGGATATCAGAAATGGACTGACTGACTTCCAGGCAGCTGCAGCAGCAAGTGGCCTGCCCACTGAGGGTGATCAGCAAGACCAATGCCAATGAGATAGAACTTGTCTGTTAGACTGGCCCCTGAGGATCAGTGAACCTGAACCAGCTCCCCAAAGCTGCCCCACAGCCCAGGCCTGAGCAGTCCTGGGAAGCCCAGCCAGTGTGAGGGGCCTGAACTGAGGGCCCACACCACCCTGCGGCAGACCTTCAGTCCCCACCAGCTGTCGGCCATGGAGAAGATGTCACGTGTGACTACGGTGCTGACGGGCCGCACTATGCATTGCCACCTGGACGCTCCGGCCAATGCCATCAGCGTGTGCCGGGACGCAGCCCAAGTGGTGGTGGCGGGCCGCAGCATCTTCAAAGTGTATGCCATCGAGGAGGAGCAGTTTGTGGAGAAGCTGAACCTGCGCGTGGGCCGTAAGCCCTCGCTCAACCTGAGCTGTGCCGACGTGGTCTGGCACCAGATGGACGAGAACCTCCTGGCCACAGCGGCCACCAATGGCGTGGTGGTCACTTGGAACCTGGGCCGACCATCCCGCAACAAGCAGGATCAGCTGTTCACGGAGCACAAGCGCACGGTGAACAAGGTCTGTTTCCATCCCACTGAGGCCCACGTGCTACTCAGTGGCTCCCAGGATGGTTTCATGAAGTGCTTCGACCTGCGCCGGAAGGACTCGGTCAGCACCTTCTCAGGTGAGGCTGAGGGCGCGTGGATGTCCAGGGCCATGTCGCAGCCAGTCTCCCAGCCTCCCTGGGGCATTAAGCTCAGGAGGGCTTCCTGGAGGAAGGGAACCTGAACCTGCAGGGGGCTGCCGCCCTGCCAAAGGGAGTAAGGTGTTGAGGTGTGAGCCAGGCAGAGGCTGTTGGAGGGGAGGGGGCAGACGTCGAGCTGCTGCGCAGGAGAGGGTATGGAGCCACTGTCTCTGCCGGGTTCTTGAACCAGTGTCCCCTCCTTGGGCTTCTCCCCATGACTTCTGACTGCCCCCTGGACAGCGCTAGAGAGTTTCCGTTCCCCTCAGGAGCCCAAGGTGGGCCCTCACCTCCCTAGGTCCTCCCCACCCACAGGACAGTCGGAGAGTGTGCGGGACGTGCAGTTCAGCATCCGAGACTACTTCACCTTCGCCTCCACCTTCGAGAATGGCAACGTGCAGCTCTGGGACATCCGGAGGCCTGACCGCTGCGAGAGGATGTTCACAGCCCACAACGGGCCCGTCTTTTGCTGCGACTGGCACCCCGAGGACAGGTGTACCGGGATCACCTGGGGACAGGTGTAAGGGGTGGGAGGTCACCTGAGGACAGGTGAGGTTCAGGGGGCATTGGGCAGGTGGGGCCTAGAGGTCTTCTATCTTGAGACCTGAGGCAGAAAGAGTGGGGCATGGCAGATTGGGGCGCCTCCAACTGTGGGAGAAAATGCTGAGGTTGGGGCTCCCACAGAGGCTGGCTGGCCACGGGCGGGCGTGACAAGATGGTGAAGGTCTGGGACGTGACTACGCCCCGCGCCAGGGAGGTGCACTGCGTGCAGACCATCGCCTCGGTGGCCCGAGTCAAGTGGAGGCCCGAGTGCCGCCACCACCTGGCCACTTGCTCCATGATGGTGGACCACAACATCTACGTGTGGGACGTGCGCCGGCCCTTTGTGCCGGCCGCCATGTTCGAGGAGCACCGGGACGTCACAACGGGCATCGCCTGGCGACACCCCCACGATCCCTCCTTCCTGCTGTCGGGCTCCAAGGACAGCACGCTGTGCCAGCATTTGTTCCGAGACGCCAGCCAACCCGTGGAACGAGCCAACCCCGAGGGTCTCTGCTACGGACTCTTCGGGGACCTGGCCTTTGCTGCCAAGGAGAGCTTGGTGGCCACTGAGTCTGGGCGCAAGCCCTACGCAGGTGACCGGCGCCACCCGATCTTCTTTAAACGCAAGCTGGACCTCGCGGAGCCCTTCGCGGGCATGGCCTGCAGTGCCCTCAGCGTCTTTGAGACAGAGACCAGCGGCAGTGGCATAAGCTGGTTTGTGGACACTGCCCAGCGTTACGCTCTGGCCGGCCGTCCACTGGCTGAGCTCTGCGACCACAATGCCAAAGTGGCCCGGGAGCTGGGCCGGAACCAGGTTGGCTGCTGAAGTGTACCCCCCTACCCCCGTGTTTGCCCTTGGCCATGTGTGCTGCCTCCCCTGCCCCCTTCTGTGCTGCTGCATCCATGTGGGGGGTCTGTACAACCATTGGATCGGGGCCCCTTGATGACCAGTGCCGATCCCCACAGGTGGCTCAGACGTGGACCATGCTGAGGATCATCTACTGCAGCCCTGGCCTGGTGCCCTCCACCAACCTTAACCACAGCGTGGGCAAGGGCAGTTCAGGAGGTCTGCAGCTCATGAACAGGTAGGGCCTGGGAGGGGCTCCCTGGAGAGCAGGGGACTTGAGTCTCCCAGGCCCTGCCCACCCACCTGCCCCTCCCCACCCCCAGCTTCAACCTAAAAGAAATGACCCCAGGGCTGGGCGGAGAGACCTGGCTGGACCGCAGCAAGGGTGACACTCGCAGCGACACCGTTCTGCTTGATTCCTCCGCCACGCTCATCACCAACGAGGGTAGGGGCTGGGGGCTGCCTGGGCAGGGCGGGGGCCGTCTGCAGAGAGACACTCCCTCCATTTCCTTCCCCTTTCCCCTTCCTGGCGGGCAGACAACGAGGAGACGGAGGGCAGCGACGTGCCAGCCGACTACCTCCTGGGTGATGTGGAAGGAGACGAAGAGGAGCTGTACCTGTTGGACCCGGACCACACACATCGTGAGTCCAGAGGTGGACAGGGCCAGAGTGAGGGCTGGGGGCGGGGCTGGGGCGGAGCGAAGGCTTAGGCCGCGCCCCCTCCCTGCCCCTTAGCGGAGGAGCCAGAGTATGTCCTGCCCCAGGAGGCGTTTCCACTGCGCCACGAGATCGTGGACACCCCCCCGGGGCCCGAGCACTTGCAAGACAAGGCCGACTCACCACACGTGAGTGGCAATGAGGCAGATGCGGCATCGCTAGTACCTGTGGACCCGTCGTTCTCGCTGATCTCCGTGTCGCGCGCACTCCACGACAGCCGCCTGCCGCCCGACTTCTTCAGCACCCTCGTGCGCGACATGCTGCACTTCTACGCCGAGCAGGGTGACGTGCAGATG